TGTTTTTCCAAAATACATGCATCATTGGTTCCCATAGCAATAGCATAATACTAGGTTAGTGGTATAACAAATAGAAAGTTTTTGACTCAAAACTATCTCAAGTTGTCCACGGTAAGACTGGAAACAGAAGACGAAGACAACTCTGGAAAGGCAGCAATGCTCAAATGTGTGAATACTTATGCAATGATACATAATACAGCTTTTTTGCTGATTATAGAAACATTCTGAATCTGTGGAAATTATAAGCAAAACATGTCACTCATTTAAACATTTACTTTTTTGAGATACATTCTTAATGAGTTCTTTGGACATATTAAGCAATCATTCAGTGTTCTTCTTCACATTACAATTACATCAAAATAATATGCATATCCATGTCAGAATGTGTGTGATTTCACTTAAAAATATTTTCCTGAAAGATTATGTGCACATGAATGAGCTTTATTATATTTCCCACCCTCTATTCCTTCAAATATGGAGCTTTTAATACCTATGTTTATTAGGCAGAGGCTATTTACACTAATTCCGACGACCACCGTATGGTAGGGTTCAACAACATGGCAAAAGACACCTGCAAAATAAAACAATCAATTGCATTTTGACACGATCGACCCGGGTTCGAATCCGCCTTTTGCCGAACTTGTTGTTCTCCCTTTTCACATCACATATCACATCGGAAAGGCATTTATTTACAATAAAAGGGGGGGGGGTGCTTGTTGCATGGCAACCAACGCTGATATTTTTTACAAAGGTGTGTTTGAACTAAGAATCTGACGTTTCCCTCAGGTGTAGATCTGCTGAATATGCAAATGGTTTCATAAATTTCATTCCTTATGTCTCTTTCTGTAGTGAGTTAAACTTTAACCCTTTCCTATACCAACTGTATGTGTGTGTGTGTGTGTATGTGTATGTTAGACCAGTTTATGTGTTTATGTAGTATGTTGGACTAGTTTAAGTGTTTATGTAGTTAATAAAACTTTACTTGTATCACACTTGACGTGTTCATTGTTTGCTCATAACCGGAGTCACTAATCATGCAGATTTACGCTACAAGCTTTGTAGAATTGTACAGTAAGAAAGTTATTTCCCTTAACCAGGAAATTAACGTTCTTAGAATTGACAAGACAGTTGACCCTGAGAGGTCAGCTAAATATCTACAGCGGATCTAAAATATGAATAGTTAATTATAACTAGTTATGGTTAGTTATTCATATTTCCTGTCATGAGCTGATTCGTTACAGCATTGTGCTAAAACCGGGTGCAAAACCTTTCTCTCTCTCGACACCAAGATGCATTTTCCTCCCTCTCTTACCAAAAGTGAAGGAAGAGTTAAAGTGTATGGAACAGCAGGGTGTAATTTCAAAATGTAAAGTAAGAATTTGCACAGATCTCACGGAACTGAACAAATCGGTTATGAGAGAAAAACACCCTCTCTTTTCTGTCGAAAACACATTAGGACAACTTGCGGGGACATTAGGACAAGTGTTTTCCAAGCTTGATGCCAATGCAGGTTTTTGGCAGATTCCGCTTTCAAAGGAATACTCTTTGCTCACGACTTTATAAACCCATTTGTCCGATATTGTTATAACAGTCTATGCTTTGGTATCTCTTCTGCACCAGAGCATTCCAAAAGCGCATGTCCAGAATTTTTGAGGGATTGGAAGGTGCTGTTTGTCAAATGGGTGACGTGCTCGTCTGGGGGTCATCGCAGAGCAAACACAATGAGAGGCTATGATGGGTGCTCTCAAGACTTCAGGAAGCAGGAGTCACACTCAATGAGAAATGTGAGTTTTCCAAGGTGAAGATCAAGTTTCTCTGACAGATTGTTGAGGCGGCAGGGGTGAGTGCAGACCCAGACAAGCTAGAGGCAGTTAAGGTAACCAACCAGGTAATGTCAGTGAAGTGAGGTGGTTTTTGGGAATGTTATCCACCTTAGTAAATTCTTAGCACATTTGGCAGCAAAACCACAGCCACTCAGAGACTTATTGAGAAACTCCAATATGTGAGTTTGGGGGTCTGGCGCGGTATGATCCAAACAAGGATACAGTTATTTCTGTGGATGCCTCTTTACACAGACTGGGTGATGTTCTCCTCCAGAAGTAAGCAGACCACATATGGAAACCTGTGGCATTTGCTTCGAAGGCTCTCAGTAACACAGAGCAGCGATATGCGCAAATAGAGAAGGTGTTGGCCTCCACATGGCCCTGTGAGAGGTTTGCAGAGCTTCTCATTGGGAAAAGTTTCCACATTGAAACTGATCATAAACCTCTAGTTCCTCTGCTCAGCTCCAAGAGCTTGGATGAACTCCCTCCACACATTCAGCGACTTCGTATGCGTCTTCTTAAGGTTTTCGTACACCATATCACATGTGGCCAGCAAAAGCATAGCAACAGTAGATGTGTTGTCTAGAGCTCCCATAAACAGTACAGCAGAAGGGCTTTCTGAAGAAGACATCAATCTGTATGCTGACTCTGTCATGGCAAGCCTTCCAGCTACTGAAAAGAGGCTCAAAGAGGTCCAAGAGCACCAAGAAAATAATTCTATACTCCAGAAGCTAAATAAATACTGTGTGGAAGGGTTGGCCAGATAAGTTTTCCATTGACAAAACATTCCAACCTTACATGTCATTCTCAGGAGACCTTTCTGCTCAAAATTGGCTGCTATTGAGTGGAATCAGGATTGTTGTTCCAAAGTCACTCCGAGCTGAGATACTGGAAAAAAATGCATGAAAGTCATCATGGCATAAAAACGTGTAGAGAGAGAGAGAGTTAAGCAGTCAGTTTGGTGGCCCGGTTTCAGTAAAGACCTAACAAAAATGATTGAGAACTGTGACACGTGCACGTGAAAGAATACATTTCAAAGAAACCATGCTGCCTACTGAATTTCCAACAAGGTCGTGGTCCAAAAAGACAACAAGGAATACTTGGTCATTGTGGACTACTTTTCAATATTTTTTTTAGGTTTCAAAAATGGGACAACGGGCCACAGTTTGCTTCAGATTGTTTCCGTGTCTTTGCACAAGACTGAGGTTTCGACCATGTGATGTCGAGTCATCACTTTCCGCAAAGCAACGGGGAGGACAACCAAGAACCTCCTGAAAAAGTCGGTTGACCCCTATCTTGCGCTAATGTCTTACCGAGCAGCCCTTCTTGCCAAATGTTTACAGTCCTGCCAAGCTTTTCATGGGAAGGAAACACCGAACACAAGTTCCTGTGATTCCATCTCCGCTCAGTCCAGAGTGTGCGGATTTGGAAAAGCTGAAAAAGATAGAACTGACATACAGACAGAAACAGAAGCAAAATGTGCCCGAAGACACAAAGTACTTGACATGACACACTTACGACCAGGTGAACATATATTGGTCAAAGACACTTCTGAAAGGGGCACTGTTGTGTCCACTTCTGGCTCTCCTAGATCATACCTTAGAGAGACACCCAGAGGTACCTTGACTAGAAACAGGTTTCATCTCTCACCAACTCCAAAAGCTCCTGTGACATCTGACCTTCCAGATTCAGCCGATATACAGGTATCTCCGTGCTCTGAAAGTTCAACTTCCAGGCCTGAAATTCAGAAGGTATGCCAACCGACCTCACCATGTGCCAGAAGGTATCCTTCCCAGATTAGAGCTCCTCCCGGGTATCTAAAGGACTTTGTTTGTAGTTAGAGATACCCTGGAAAAACACTGAGTGGTCAATGGGGCAGAATATTCCCCACACTCGGTTGAAGATTCTGGGTAGTCTAGAATTGTACAGAATTATGTACAGCATTGTATATTGTGTGTGTGTTATGGTACTGTGAGGAGGATAATAAAAGTTGTCAGAAGTTATGGCTGGCTGTTATGTCATCCATCCTGTGAAAGGTTAATGTTGTACCTACTAAACAACAGAACACAGTCTTTCATAATTTAGCCGGTTTAATACCAGGTAGCGGTACCCATCCTTGCTTACAAGAGAAGCAAAGAAGCATGAGTTGCAAAGCTACATGACAGTATATATTGCATCTGCATTTTCTAAATACATCAAAAGTGGAAAAATAACTAGTCGTTCTGAAAACAAGTGAAGAACAAAATTAAAAATAAATCTCTTTCTTAAAAGTGTTACCCTCTCTTCTTCAGCTTCCTGAACAAGAACAGTTTGTAAAAAGCTTCTACTTGTATTCATGACAGAGTAAGCAAGTGACACATATGCATTATAAGACAATTGAACATAATATGAAAATCATAAGAAAGCACACTGATATAAATTATATCATGAAGCAAAATGACATACAAGAATAAAACTTTTTGATATTGTTCATTGTTCTTTGGGGAGGAACTCCATCTTTGAGTAGATCTGAATCTCACAGTTGAATCTGCTGGTTTTGAAGATGAATATGAACTTTATTCACTGTGAAAACTTTAGATAATGTTTCTTCGTCATGTCACTTGTAATGACAGATTTATCCAGATATTTTATTGCTTGATGCATTATTGTGTCACATTTGGTGAGGATGCAGCACCAGATCTGAAAGTGCTGGATCTGAAGATGATCTACTTACTGTGAATGTTTTTTGTATGTCTGTGTAGAGCAGAAGAATGATTGAAACTCTTCCCACATGCAGTGCAGTGATACGGTTTCTCTCCAGTGTGGATCCTCTCATGTGTTTTCAGGATTTCTGGCCGACTGAATCTCTTGCTGCAGTGTGAACACTTGTACAGTTTCTCTCCAGTGTGAATCATCTCATGTCGTTTTAGGGTTTCTGACCAACTGAATCTTTTGTCACAGTGTTTCTTCAGCTTCCTGAACAAGAACAGTTTGTAAAAAGCTTCTACTTGTATTCATGACAGAGTAAGCAAGTGACACATATGCATTATAAGACAATTGAACATAATATGAAAATCATAAGAAAGCACACTGATATAAATTATATCATGAAGCAAAATGACATACAAGAATAAAACTTTTTGATATTGTTCATTGTTCTTTGGGGAGGAACTCCATCTTTGAGTTGATCTGAATCTCACAGTTGAATCTGCTGGTTTTGAAGATGAAGATGAACTTTATTCACTGTGAAAACTTTAGATAATGTTTCTTCGTCATGTCACTTGTAATGACAGATTTATCCAGATATTTTATTGCTTGATGCATTATTGTGTCACATTTGGTGAGGATGCAGCACCAGATCTGAAAGTGCTGGATCTGAAGATGATCTACTTACTGTGAATGTTTTTTGTATGTCTGTGTAGAGCAGAAGAATGATTGAAACTCTTCCCACATGCAGTGCAGTGATACGGTTTCTCTCCAGTGTGGATCCTCTCATGTGTTTTCAGGATTTCTGGCCGACTGAATCTCTTGCTGCAGTGTGAACACTTGTACAGTTTCTCTCCAGTGTGAATCATCTCATGTCGTTTTAGGGTTTCTGACCAACTGAATCTTTTGTCACAGTGTGAACACTTGTATGGTTTCTCTCCAGTGTGGATCCTCTGGTGCAGTTTTAAATGGCTCGCTGAAGTAAAAGTCTTTTCACACTCAAAGCACATGTACTCTCTCACACCAGTATGTATTTTCTGATGTATTTTCAAACTTTGTAGTAATGAAAAACTCTTTCCACACAAATAACATGAATGGGGCTTCTCCTTTCTATGAACTACCAGGTGTTTTTTAAGTTCTGAAGCTCTCAAAAAGGTTTTGCTGCATTGACCACATGTGTGCCGCTTCTCTCCAGTGTGGATATTCATGTGATCCTTAAGATGTGCTGATTGTGTGAAACTCTTCCCGCACTGATCACAAGTGTATGGTTTCTCTCCAGTATGAACTCTCATGTGTACTGTAAGGCTTCCTTTTATTGTGAAACTCTTCCCGCACTGATCACAAGTGTATGGTTTCTCTCCAGTATGAACTCTCATGTGTACTGTAAGGCTTCCTTTTATTGTGAAACTCTTCCCGCACTGATCACATGTGTAAGGTTTCTCTCCAGTGTGGATCCTCTCATGTGTTTTCAGGATTTTTGACCGACTGAATCTCTTGTCACAGTGTGAACACTTGTAAGGTTTCTCTCCAGTATGAACATCAAGATTAGATTTGCATGTCAAACTCTTTCCACACTGAGTGCAGGTGAAAAATTTCTTGGCTCTTGTTTTCCTTAATATTATCTCTTTGCTTTGACAGCAACTCAAAAGTTTTTCTCCAGTTTTGAATAGATTTTTTTCCTCAACTTTACTAAATTCTTCATTGTCCTCATTTTCTTCAATCAACTCTGAAATAAAAGCAAAAACAGTTTCTCATAAAAAACTCATAAAAAAGTGAAAAGACATCAAATCGAACCCTGATGTAACAATGGAAAGTAGACAATTGCTATACAACCCAGACAGCTACATAGTGTTGGCCCAGATCCGGCCCACATCTGTCCTGCGTGAAATCCATGTGGGCCAGATATGGGCCAACACTATGTTGCTGTCTGGGAATATTTTGATATTTTTGATGAAGTTTTATAAATACATCTAGTACATTTTATATATATACGTCCCTGAAAATGTCCATGAATGAGGTACATTGATCTTCAAATTATGATTTTTAAAACATTATAGGCACATATCCCATGCTTCTGTAGGAAGAATTTTAAATGTGTTTGATCAACAACACAATTATCTAGCATAATTCATTTTGTTGCAAAAAAAAGTACCCAGTTTACAGAAAGTGTCCCTTATTATTTGATTATTTAGTTACAGTATATTACTGCAGAGCTAAGATATTTCCAATTACAACAAACGCAATCTAAAACCACTTGAAACTTTATAACCGTCAGCATTATTAATGAAGAATGAATAATAAACACCAACCTGTTTGTTCTTCAGTATCTTCAGTGTGTTTGATTCTGCAGGGTTCTGGATCTCTCATCTTCTCTCTGTCCTCTTTAATAAACTCAGTCTTTGCAGGTTTCTTCCTGATGCTTTGATGCTCGTTTTCACTTGTAAACTGATGGAATATTCCAGCTGAATTTCTGTGTGGAAGAAGCAGATTTGCCAAAATCATCAAGAAATCAAAGAGGCACTAAGTGTTGGCTCTTTGTATATCATTATATAACTATATTAAAAGAGTGTCTGTCAACACAAAAGCAAGCGTTGAGCACATCAATTTAAAATGCTCATTCAGGTCTTCAAGCAGCTCTCTCTCGGTTCCCCCTTCCTCTCGACCGGTCCCCACTCCCAGGTTACGGGAGCACCGGAGGCCCATTACTGCCCCGAGAATGCGGCAGGAGTGGCCCACACAGCTGACTTCACGAAAGGCCAGCCACCTCGCTGGCCCGACAATCCCCACCTCCAAGGACAGGGGTTTCTTTTTTAGCCCCTGTATCCTTCTCATCCCCCTCTCTCTCGACTCAGCTGCGGGAGGAGGTTCCCGCTGCCACCAGTGTGGAGGGCAAGTCCGGGCTGCTCTGCTGGCACTGTGGGGAGCCTGGGCATTTCCGGTATCAGTGTACATCCATGGATGTGGATACACTGATCCAGGTCCCTGAGGTGTCGCCGAGTGCCCCCGATCGAGCTGGGAAGTATTATATACCAGTAAGTGTTAGGGGAAATACCTATCAGGCTTTGGTGGATTCAGGTTGTAACCAGACCTCCATCCATCAACACCTGATGCAACCTGGGGCACTGGATACGAGCTGCATGGTGAAGGTGAGGTGTGTACACGGGGACATTCGCCAATGTCCTATTGCATTGGTCACTATTCAATTGGGGGCCCAAAAGCATAGAGTCGAGGCGGCGGTTATTCAGCCTCAGCCACCCAGTTATTTTGGGAACGAACTGGCCATTATTTTCAATGATGTGAAAATTGCTGGGGCTGATGAGGTGACCCCAGGTCCATCTGGAGTTGTCCCGGGGAGAGGGGACTCGACAGACACACACTCTCTCGGTCTCAGAAGTAGTAGCTCATATTCAGTAAGTCAATCTGGCCACTAGCATTCACTACAACGTTGTAAAAATCATCCATTTGAATAAATGACTGGACATAGTTGCGTTCTCAAACTACTATATGTAATATTTAATGTGTATAAATTAAAAAGAAAACAAAATATCAATGCTGTAATAAATTGTATTTATTATTATGATATACAGTGAACTTTTCATGTCAGCAGACAATATTCCATACAAAATATCCCTGCAAAATAAGTGCATCACTGAGATTTTTGGTGGCGTAAGGCCTGTTTTTAACCTTTTTAGATGTATGCATCATCTTACATGTCAAATTATTAAAATGTATCAATAAATTCAATATACACTATAGGGCTGCTACCAGTCAGAATAAATCATTTACACTGCAAGTAATAATAATTACAACTGCAATAAATAATGTTATGAGATTAATGTTTTAAATGCATTTATGAATACACAAATAAGAAATGTTGAGGGGAAAAATGTTGACATACTTTTCAACAAACTTCTCAACTGAACTACCAGTAAGTGATGGTAAGTCACTTAATGAGTGAGTATTGAGTCATTCATTCAACTCATTGAGTGTTATCATGCTGGTATCTTAAGGACTTTCGTGGACAGCTGACTCCTAAAGTTTTTCATATTCTGTGTGGTGGTCAGATAAGTTTAAATAGATGTGTACCTTTTATGGGCATTTTACCTTTATAAAGCCATTTTTCTATAAGTGTGCATTATCTTTTGAGTCAAATTCTTACATTTAATCAGTGAATTAGAATAATAAGACAGTTGGGCTGTTACTAAGCAAATTAAATCAGTATCAACAAAATTCATCTTTGCAATCCAGACATAAGCTGCACCCGAAGTGGCATTTAGATGTGTTCACACACTGTTTAATGCAGAACATGAATGCATTTAACCTGCAGTTACAAATGCATAAATAATGTTTTGATATATTAAACATAAAACATTGAATACTGATATTTGAAATAATTTAAAAAATGAATGTGAATATTTAAATGTGAAATTAAAACCACCAGTAGGTGGCAGTAAGTCACTGTTAATAAGTGAGTCATTGCGATTGAAACGAATAATTTAAACGGTTTATTCATTTAGGAACGAAACCCCGTCATGTTGCTCAGAGACGCAAAACAGCGCTGTGGCTTTGTTTGGAATTATTTTTGTTGGCGAAATAGAGCAAAAACAAGCAATATGGTGTCTAAAACGTAAGTCTCTTAATAAAACTCCGTTTATTGAACTGTTGTAAAAAATCAATATCACATTTGTATATGGTAATTTTTGGAGAAAAAAGGCACTCTTCCGTGTGAACTTGAGTATAAATATACACATTTTCTGCCCCCATGTCTTGAATTTGTGATCATTCTGAATGTATTTTAATAGACTGAATCATGCAGTGATCAGGCAGAGCGCACTGCAAATGTGCACGCGCACTAGACTTCACGTAATGCATGCACTCTGTAGGTGTTTAAAATGTTTGTTTGCGTCGTGAAAATATTGAGTAAAATAGCTCACTTGTCATGGTGTTATTTAAATATATCATGTTATGAATAAACTAAACATTTTGAATTTTTACCTCAGTGTGTTTCTTCTGAGTTTGTGTGTGCTGTCACGCTCATTTGTTCTGAAGTCTCGAGACAAACAGAGTGAGCCTCAGCGCGAGCTTGTATTCTGTATTCTGCGAACTTACTGCAATTCTCTTTGATGATGCAGTAACTTACCGCGGGGAAGAACAAATCTTCGGTCTGTCCAATGATTGTAAAGTCATTAGGTCCATCACAGACTGAAGATATTTTAGCGGTAATGAGACCAAAAAAAATTAAGACCCATCGAATCCGAATTTAAGACATTTTAAGACTTTTTAAGGCCTTATTTTAGGAAAATGTTATTTAAGACTTTTTAAGGACCCATGGACACCCTGTGTCTGAGAGTGCAAGCGCCAAGCTGCAGCCAGACCCTTCTCAAATAAAGTGGTTTTGCTTTTGCCTAGAAACACACAGCATCTCCCTGACATGGCTGCTTCAACACTAACTGCGGTTACTGAAACCACGCCTTCTTTCTTTGCGTGTACATTTGGGCGCATTATGCTAATATTTCCAGATAGTGAGGTAGATATGTGGGGCGTGTTAGAACGAACCGTTTTAGGGGGGCGTGGCAGAGTTAACTTTGATAAAGAATAATCTCTTTGGTTTTGAGACTTTAGTCTTTGCAACTTCAGGGATCTTATCTATGCACAATCAGCTTGTAACACTCCAAAGAGAAAGGAAAACTTGAAATCGCATCATATGACCCCTTTAAAAGAGTGACCATTAGTAGTTATTACGATCCACGTTATGTCATTATTTTTGATTGATGACTTTGACATTTGACCCGCCCCCTTAGGGGTTAACCTTATGACCTTTTTAATGACCGTGATTAACCTGTGACCTCAGCAATGAATTAGGTTATTGTCCTTTAATGTTCAGCAGATGTTTAATGACATCTGGCTCTAGCATATATCCGGGAGTGACATAATTAACCTGTGACCTCTAACATGAATTAGG